CTCACAGGACAGGACGTCAGGGGTTGGAAGGGGCCTCTGTGGGTCACCCAGTCCAACCCCCTGCCGAAGCAGGGTCACACAGAGCAGGCTGTGCAGCCCCCGCGGCGCCCAAGGTATCGTCCCGGGGCTAGGAAACGTGCCTGAGGGCTGACGAAGGTGAGCGGGTTAAATGGAAGCATTGTTCAGGTTTTATATGAAAATAACAACGTTTAGCAGTTTAGTTTTCCCAACTTAGTAACTTAGAACAAAATAGTGAGTGCATATTTTAGTCATACTCGGATATTACTTTGAAATCCTCTCCAGTTGCCGTCCTGATTCTGTATATAAGAACACTCAAAACTTTTTCACATTTGTAATGCCACAAAATGTTTTTGGGTTGGTCTTGGTCTGTGAGGTCAAAGAAAGATCTTCCATTAGCATACCAGCAGCAAGACAATTCCTCTCATAAGCCAGTATATGTTGTCTCTAAAAAAAACTAGTCCAGTTGGGACATTTTACAATCTGCATACATTTAATTTCGTCCAAATAATTAACGGTGCAGTTCCACACTGCTAGGCGAGCCACAACCTACCACTTCTGCGTCAGCACTTCTTCAGCCGGCAGTCATATCACTAATGCAAGCCCACTGGTCTCAGAAACCTATTTTTCTTTCACTGAAAACAAACAGGAAAAGAAGTTATGTTCTCCACGACAAGTTAATGCAAGTCTGCTACACCGACAGCGTTCTGCCCTGTGACGCCAAGAGCAACGCTTAGGTAGCCTGATGCTTTTCATTTATGATAAACCTTGCAGCTAACGGGACACAACTGGACCCCTGAGTCTCTGGCACATACGGGACATTCTGTCTGCTTGCTCTGCTCTTTCAGCTTCCCAGGATTTCTGTTAAGACATTTCTAAACAGGACGCGTGGTTTTATACAGATCATTTTAAGGCAGTAAGCCACCAAAACTAAACAGCATTTATTTATAGTACTGCAGGCTACCCTTGTTAAAAATTATAGTCCTTGGAGATGGGAAAATAGTTCCTCAAGTGATTCTTCAATAAAAAAAAAGAAACCCAAGGTTGATTCTAGTACTTACGCACCTATAATTTGTACATTCCTTCCATTATATATTAAGTTATACTAATGAAGGTTAGAGTAACACAACCATGTAATACAGCATGACAGAATCGCACAAGGATAATCCCGCCCAAGTTCTTTGTTGGCCAGTAGCTAAAAGTGACTTCACCGATGTCATTCACTGAATTTTCAGAAAGCTGTCAATCAAGGCAGTGCCCTGACCGCAAAGTTCAGGCAGAACTACAACGTACAATTACAGACTGAGAAATCCTGGATGGACACCGTTTTTCAGGCACGCACTCCAGAGAGACCCATACTTTATGCCCATTCAGTGGCAGGACATCACGGATAAATTTAGCCAGTGAAGAGTTTTGAGATAGCAGTTCAACACAGCTGGCAGTATGGTAGGTTTGACTACAGCAGGTACCATGCTTTATAACTACAGAACCATATCAACCTATGGTGAAGGGTCCATCTTGTCCCGGATACTGTCTCAAAGGAATGCCTAAGGAAGAGTGAAAAGAGGCGAGGGGTGTCTTTTAGGCCAGTACGCTTTCAACCTCCTCCTGCTTCCACTTCAGAGAACTTCCCAAGTTTTATGTGACTTTGGCGTGTAGTAATCTTTTCTTTTTTTTTCTGTGTACTTTTCCACTCACTGGACCTGTCTTAACTCTTAGCATCAGCAGCTTCCTTGGCAATGAACTGGAAGCTGCCCTTCCACAGGCCTGCTACCCTTCGCGTCAAGAAACAGTTGGTTTTGAATATTGCTCCCATTAGCTTCATCTAATGTGCCCTACGTCTTGTACTGGAGGAGACAAGTTGATTGGTATCCATCTTTGTCATACTGTGCATGATGTTTAGACCTACATCTTTTCTACTCTCAGTCATTTCTTTTCAAGACTGAAAAATCACAGCCAGCTCCATTATTATTTATAAGAAAGCTGTTCCATGTCTTCGGGATCATCTTTTTTGCCCTTCTCCAAGCTGTTTCCACTTTTATGGATTTTCTGAGATGCGGCGATCATTGCACAGTATCCAAGATAGGAGCGAGCAATGACTTTGTACACATGGTGTCATGCTGCTGTTTTCTGTTCCTTTACTAATAATCTAAAGGTGATTTTTTTTTTTAATAGTAGCTAAATCAGTATGCATTTTGCAGTTACCTTGTTGTATTCTTTCAGCTGGAAGTCCATTTTTGGGAAATGATAATCTCACTTAATCTAATCATCAATCTGCTCATTCTTTAGTGACCATAAAAACCCTCACACTCTTTTTAATGTTGTTTTAATTGCAGTAGCCACTAGAAGCTCAAACCAAAATTAGCACTTGGTTGTTAAGTTCTGCGCATACCTTTAACAACAGACAGTTCTGGCCCTGAAGGATTTATTATTCAATAAACAAGACAAAAGATGAGCAAAAGGAAACACAATCATATTTCACACTTGGTAAACACTGGCAGAAGAGCTTTGAACTGTTTTGGTAAGAGTTTACAGGCATCTTTGGTAGAGTGAACAATGCAGTTTTCCTCATTTCCAGATCTTGGTGAGAAGCAAAACCAGTCGCTTTCTTTCATGGTGGTGATTTTTTGTTTGGGAATATGGACTGAATTATTATTTCTAGACTTAGGCAGTAAAGCTACTAACTCACTCATTATGGTCTACTCCTGCACAGTCAGATGTATTAAAACTCACGCAGACAGCATGACTAGGAACTTGTGAGTTACAGAGGTCGCTTTCCTAGGACAGGAAAAATGCTCCAAAAACTCTGTCAAAGACCACCCCAGATCACTACCAAGTGAGGCTTAGAGCTAGCTCAGCAAACCAAAATGATTATAGAGGAGCTTTGAACGCATCTGTTTGAAGATATGTTCATGGTTGAATTTCTGCAACATCTCTGGCTAGGAGAGAAGTACATTTGGCTGGAAAACAAGCGCACTTGGCGTCCCTGCGCTACCCAAGATCGGTAACGGAATGTGGCGGCACAGACAAAAGCCAAGACAGATGCTTCGTCAGGGAGATTGGTACCTGCCCTACAGATTGCAGCGTTCTCTCTCCCTTCCCTCAGTCTCAAAAGACAATGTAGAAGTTACAGATGGATCAACAGGGAGGACCCTTGTGATAAAAGTTTCTAGACAGGTATTTTTAGAAACACATCTATTAAAGGACGCTTCTTATGCCCTAGCAGAGAAATTCCTGCGTAGGATAAAGAACCTTAAATGATACCATAACAGTTTCGTATTGATACATGGCTTACAACTTAAAAGTCTTCATAAACGAGACTATGAAGCAACCGAGTAAACGTTACCACCATTGTGCTAAGATGGACAGAAAAGAATGGTGGTTAAGTGACTCTTCTAAAGAAACAGAAGAAATAAGTGCTTGAAACCTGATCTAAATTTGGGGATTTTGATTCCGAGAGGCTTGAAATGGTGTTACCTCCTAGCAGACAAACACAAAAAGGGGATATGCGTTCCTGGTGCTAACTGTCCGACAGCATGCCTGCTTGTTTGTGACACTGGAATGTAGGTTAATTGTATTGTTCAATCTTGGATTGCTGCTCTTGGATTGATCTTGGCAGCTGTGGCAAGATCACATTTGGCAATCTAGCAAATGCAAGAATGCAACTACATGCAACTCCTCTTTGTCTGCGGCACACTTTGCTACGCTCTTCATGGGGCTGTACGCTTAGACCATCCAAATAAAAACTGCATATATAGACTGCAAACATAGACTGCAGCAATCTACTGTTAAGTGGTTTTCACATGAACATCACTCGATACTGTGATACCGGGAATTCCCATGGTATCGATTGTAACATTGATTTTAAGAACACTTGCGCGTCTGGGACGTGGTTATGTCAAGGACTCTCCTAATCTGGACTGTTAGTAGAAAAAGAGGTCATACAAGGGAGAGCAGGAAATTGCAGTGGGCATTCCTGTCCTCCACCTGCACAGCCTGGATGTGCCGCACTTCAAAACATGCAGCGTAAGTTTTTCTTCAAGGTTTGGGCTAAGCTAGCAGATGAGAGCTGGGAAGGATTTCTGTGATCTGTATCTGTGATATGCATTTATATATGAACGGGGACTAGAGTGGGGGAGATGGTGAAAGACCTTTCCATTATATTAAGTGATTGCAGTGTGAAATTAAATCATACAGGAGCTCAAAGGGTATAGAGTAGCCACACAGGTACATTTACAGATAAAAAGAAAAAATTCTAATAAATATTTCCCCTGATCAAGATTTCCTCTTAGGAACTTGTAGTAATGCAGCTCACACCATGAACCCTCTTCTCTCCAGCACACGCTGTACATAAAGGAGGAGTTTCCCCACATGACTTCATACTAATTACCTACAAATAGTCATACAAGAATAACCTCAATCCACTCGTGCTCTTTGCAGCCGTGATTAGCATGTTCATTTCACAAGATCTGAGTGACATTGCTTGTTCAGAATTCATTACTCAATCTCCCTGCATAATGTATGAGAACTCACTGCTAGTATGTCAGGTTACACAGCACCTTTACGTAGTGCCCAGGGCACCGTGCAGCTGCCTGCAGCTTCCCAGAATTGTCCATACACCACTACAGCTAGTCAGTGAACATTTATGGATAGGTCACAACAGCCTGGCGACACACGTAGGACATTTAAAATGTATGTTTTTAGGCTAGAAGAAAAATGAGGGGATTCTTAAAGCTTCAGGATGCCTAGGTGGGTGATTTGTCTGTGGGTGAGTGGGGAGATGCTTTGCATACTTATGGCAGTATTAAGATATGGCAAAAGTTTTGGGACCCCTTCTGTGTTCTCAACCGCAGAAATTTCAATTATAACAGAACTTGATAGGGAACAGTTCAGGTTATTTACCTGTGAAGTACCACCTCTGGTCTGAGGAACAAGTAAGCAGGTAACAGTATCAGAAATGCTTTTAGAATTGATTAGTTATGCTACTTCATCTTGTACAAGTAAGATGAGTCTGGAGCTTGGGACGCTCTTGTTGAAAACGGAATTGCCCAGGAGTTACTCATCATAGGAGACTCTTAGCAGCTCCCTCCTGGGGAGTGGAAGTCAGCGCTGCGTAGCCCCCCCACGCCGTCCCGGGAGGCTGCCATGACACCCACTCGCATGGAAACCTGCATCTGTTCTCTCACCGCTACAAGCTCCCGACACCGTCAAGAACGCTGGAAAATGCAGCCGGGTGAAAGAAAGGGGAAGAACACGACGCATTTAGCATTTTAAGACTGACAGGGTGGTAATAGGATGTTCTAGGTTGCAGTGCATTTTAGAAGTTAATTTTACTTGCAACTCAGGTGGGAAATGGTTGCAGTGTTCACAGAGGCACAGGGCCGTGTGGGACCGATGGTCCCATGCAGCACGTCACCAGCAGCACCCCAGAATCACAACTATATGTTTTTCATTCTCCATCCCTGCTACAGTACTTGATTTTTTGGAATTATTTTCCCATGGGTCTTTGGTTCAGTTTGGTCCCTTTTCTGATTTTTTTCCCCTCGCTAATATTTTGCAGCTTTCTACACAATTATTTTCCTTATATTGCCATGTCTTTATGACCTTTCTTCTCTGTGCTGTTTCTCAAGAGCTCTGCTTTAATCAGCTGCCTGGTAAAGCCTTGGGTTTTCCTTGAATTTGCCTTGTGTGTAAATCTGAACGATGACTTTTTGAGGTAACAGGTGCCTCTGGACCTTGTACAAGATGAATTATCCTGTCTGCACTAAACTAACTCAAACAATAATCATAATTTTGAGACATGTTTTTTAGTCATGGGACTTCACAACAAGAGTTGAAAGCTAAAAATGGTCAGACAGCATCAGTTTGAACAAGAATCACCCAGAAATTAAAAGCTTCGCACATGTAACGACTAAAAAAATTCCACCAGTTTTTCTAATGAACAATTCTGCTGGAACCATCTTCACAGTACAGAATCTCTCAGATTCCTTTCTGCTTTTGTGCAATTTCACTACAGAAAGGGTAGCTTATCATCAGCGTGTAACAGCATTGCTGCATGAGCTAGCACGGGACGGTATGACATACCTGTATGACATAACTGCATGTGACAATCACCTGAACACACAATGTCCCACCAACCGAGCTCACACGCTGTCAGATGCAAATTAACATGTGTCACATTTACAATTGAAGAACATCATTTTTGGATAATGAAATGGTTGGTGAGATACTTAAAAGCTCAGGGTGAACGTTTCTGTTAGCCTTCAGAGGAGTTACAAGTCTAGGTTTCCCCAACTTTTGATTCTCCCTCAGTGCTGTTCCTGCACATTTTGCCATCAGTTTGGTAGTGGCAATATGAAAGTAATGCTTCTTCCCAGAGGAACCATTATTCCTAATGCAGAAAGGAAACCTGCTAGCCGAATAGGGTTTCTGGTGAAGCAACATACTCTGCATCACTTTAGGAACTGGGTATTTTCAACAGTCACTAACTGGGATGGCTAATCAGATGGGTATATGGGTAGGTCCAAAATTCACTGATTTTGCATGTCTTAAAAAGGTACAAAATGCACATTCTGAGAAATACAGAAGCAGTGAGCAAGGAAAAAATGAGCATTAATTATAAATTTGAAACTTAAGAAGAGTTGGTAAAGATTTGAATCAATTTAAATATGCATTAAAACCCCAGTAAGACTTTAACTCCAGCATTTCATTAAATCAGTGTGGGGTATTTCAATAGTTTTTGCAAACCAAATGAAGAAAAAAAAACCCAATACAACCCTAACAGTCTGAATATTTTAACAAATATTTTGCTTTCTCGTGTTTGACCAGATAAAAATTATTAAAATTAACTACCTGTCTCCATGTTCACATTAATCATTGTGTGATTAATCGATGTAAACAAGATGACAAATGAAACTAAATGTTCCAGATGATTCCACAGAATCAAAAAATCCAACGTCATGAAACAACTATGGACAAACAGGAAAGTCTAGATTTTAAGATTCAATTGAGAATTTAATTGTTCAAAACCCTGACCTAGGGAGAACTAGAACTGGTAATCCCAAAACTCTTAGAATGTCTAATAAAGCCAAAAAACTGTAGAGAAACCAGTGTATTTGAAAATGGTAGATACTAGTATTTCTAGAGAAGGTAGCTTTACTGTGTGCAACCAGATCTATCAAAAAATAGAGTGAGTTCAGTAACTGGAAAGAAACTGGACCAACCATGGAGACATA